ATTGCTCAAACCGTTTCAGCTGTGGCCATTGGGACCTCCCTCGATTTTTCCTGAGTCTCTCGATTGACACCTTCCCAGCCTTGTAGGGTTACTATTTTTTTTTCTCTCTTGAATGCCTCATGATTTTCTGTCACTGTGAGATAACGGCTTCCTTTTAAAAAATCTTCTCTTCACCCCTCATCTTAGAGGACAATGCCAGCATCTTAAAAATAATGATTACTAAGCTGGCAGGGTGGCACATGTCTCTAATCCCTGCACTCTGGGAGCTTGAAGCAGGGGCACCAAAAGTACAGGCAATTTAGTGACTTAGTGAAACTGTCTCAAAATAAAAAATGAACAAGGCTAGGGGTGCAGCTTAATGCATAGGCCCTGGACTTAATCCCCAGTCTGTCTGTCTGTCTCTCTTTGTCTCTCTCTCTCTCTCTCCCTCTCTCTCTCTCTCTCTGACACACACACACATGGCTGACAGTCACTGATACCACTATTTGTGGATGTATCATTATCTTTGATGTCACTGTTTCCTGAGTCCTGTTAGTGTGGTATTCAGAAAGAAAAGCATGTGTCATCTCAAGCCTCCTGCCACAAGGATCCTGCGTGCTTTCTTGTATTTTCTTAGGTAGGGGGAGGTCAATCAGCAGTCATCAAAGCCTTCTGCAGAGGCAGCGTCTCCTCTGATGGCATTATCTTTGTTTCTGGGAAGAAGGGTTTCTTCAGCTGTAGTTCCACGTCCCGGACCCTTCAGAAAGACAAACTCCATGCACCTTTTTCAGGGAAATTCACTGCCCCTGTCAGAGGCTCAGAGTGTCTGTCACCCAACAAGGAGGGAGGGAGTGCCTTAGAGCACCTGTGTGCGTCTCCCTCAGGTGTGCAGCTTTGCCCCGGACCAGGTCACTTCTGGTGTGCACAGTGACAAATGCCACCCAGTGTTCAGCTCAGAGAAGCCCTCGGATGTTGGTGTTACCTCGGTAACTATGGAAAAACAACACAATTCCTTTGGACTCAGAATTTTTGTTGGAGAGAGGAGAGTAAGACAATATGGCTTGCATGCCTGTTTGAAAATGGTCCCAAAAGGGTAAAATAAGGATATCTACAGCTAGTAGAAAATTGAGTTTCCTTCTTTAGAAAGAATTTCTGGATTTTCCTTTGGTGCTGGAAAACATTACATCATACAGCCATGCAGCAGACACATTCCTTGCATATCTTAACGTATCAGTAAGGACACTGGTTCAAGGTTAGGCAAGTGAACAAAGGAAGACTGGTTGTAAAAGGGCTTTGGAAATAAAGCATTATTTTCTTTAGTCATTTGATCAGTCTGCCTGAGGAGAACAAGTTGTTTTCTTAAATTGATAGCACATTTCCAAGAACTAAATCCTGCTTTCTAATATATTGGGGTTGTTGGGAGAGTTCTTGAAATAGAACAGTAGAGTCAAACAGATAAAACATCGGGTTGAGAATCAGGCTGCAAACATATTAGGGATGAAGCATGTGGCCTAATTAAAACCACTTAACTTCCTTCATGCTTATTTTGCATAAGTAATACTTTTCAAATGACAAGGTTTTACAAGTTTAATGATATGTAAATACGCTATATACAAATTATTTTAGATCTTTGGGAGAAAGTGGGAATCTTCATCTAATCTCTCAAATATTTTCACCAGTAGAAATAATTTTAATGTAATTTTAGTTTTGATAACCTGGCAAGAACTCTGACTTCATACATATGAATACAAACTACATGGAATTTAGTTTAAAATTTAAAATGTTTCTGAATTTCCAATATAAAAAAGTAAACTATTGTAGAACATTCATGAAAATCTTAACAAAATTAGTAGGAAAAAAGGACTATACATTATTTAGTATATTCCCTGTTTAATTTTGAATGAATTTTGTCCACTGACATTGAGTTTTTGGTAAAAATAAAAATATAGAGTGATTTTCACTGAAGTTCTTCATTACTAGATGTAAGCTGAGATGTTTACCTTCTAAGAAATCAGGCTTCCAGCAATAACTGCCAATTTCCTTAATAGATCAGTTTCACTTGATGTAATGAAGCCTTAATCCTCACAGAAAGAAAGTCGGCCTCAGGTGATTTATTTCTGTACTGTTCTGTCTCCCTGTCACCGGTTTTTAAGGAAAATAACTTTGAAATGAGCAATTTGCCGTTGTGTTTTTTGCTTTGGCTTTCTTCAGCCCTTCTCTGTCTCTAAAACCGAACTTCCCTGTGGGATTCATTGGAACATTTGCTGGACTTCATGGAATGAAGTGTGGCTTAATTCTAGAACTGAAAAAAAAGCCAGCTAAAACTCAGCTATTGAAATTTGCCCTTTGACAATAGCAATAAATGGTACGTGATATTTCACTTCTGTAGTAGCTGGGTTATCTTAGAGAATGTCACTAGAAGTTGGGGTACCTGGTTCCACTCTATGTCTGTGGTGTTGGGGCATCCCAGTGTCACCTGTGGGAGACAAGCATTCTGCCTCTCTCTGCACCCCCAGTCCAGGTTTTATTCTTGATTCTAGCATCATAGAACAATTCGTGACCCTTTCTGGATTCTTCCTCACGTTCATATATTCTATTGCTTCATATACTTACCTGCTGCTCCTGCTCTCAATCTGGCTTTTCTCTTCCTCTCCACTGGAAGTAGCTTTCTGTGTGGTTAATCTCTCTTCTGTTAACCAAGTGAGTGAGTTTACCAGATAAAAGAAAATAATGGATGTGATGGTTCGTTCTCCAGTATCTACTCCATACTAGAATATTGACTGGAGCTGACTTTGAGTTTTCCTTTCGCCATGTCCAATGCTTGGGGACTTCTGAGGGGGAACACGCCACTCCTGAAAGAGCGCTTCATGAGAAAGTCTCCTCTTCCTCTGGGAAGTGATGACCTGGACCTCAACAGCCCAGGCAATGTGGCGCTGAAAGGCACTTAGAAGAGCTGGTGGGTGGGAATTGCTCCAACAGACGTGTGCTGACTGCTAATCCAGTAGTGCAGGGAACACAGACACACAGAACCCAAGAGTCACTCGGGGCCCACACTGTCTGCACCGTGTCCAGGTGGTGTTCCACAGTACGGAAACAGAGACAGAACTTTCGCTGAATGGTGGATTTAACAGTTTGTGTTCACTGGAGTAAAGCTCATTGGATTAAGGAGAGGCGATTGAGCAAAATGCTAGGAAAGAAGGATTTTAAGATGAGTTTGCGGGTCAGATTGGCTTTAGTTGAAAGACACTGTAGAAGAACAATTCAGTGCTCAAGGAAAGGGGCATAGCCTGTAGTAGTGACCAGAGAGAGAACATTGCACCAGTGGGTGAAAGGGGTGGAAATTGATACAGTTTACAGGTAGAAGGAAAAATTAGGCTGTAAAGTTCTAAGCTACACAAATTAATTATAAAAAATTATAAAAATTAATATCTTTAGGACATCTTTTCAGTGCTTAGAAGAAATGTCCTTTTAAAGGATTTTATATCAAGAGACACAATAATCACAATCCTTAATTGGTCCAGTGCAAGTTTATTTCACAATCAGTTCTGCTTTCCCCCTTTCATAAGAAAACTTGTAGAGAGGTTTGAATGCACTAACTTGCATTCTAATACCCAATTTTCTCGCATACCCTCATTCTCTTAAAATTTTCCATCTGCTGATAAGGAGTGGCAATTGGATCTTAGGAGGTTACAGTTTCACCTGCAGTGACATCAAAAATCTCATTACAGCACTCAAATCCCCGTAGCTGGGATATTGGAGCTGATAACACCCTGAGAAGCAATTTTTAAGGTCTACCTAATCTCCTGTACCATTGGGAAGTTTAGTTCACTGACTTTCACTTATTTAATGTTTCACACACTGGATGATTTTTGCCTGAGAAAGGTGTCTTCACCAGTTTGTGGTCTTTTTAGGTTTTTCATAGTTCATACTGCCCATCACATTTCACTGTAGTGGTTGCCTCTTATCAGAACTGAACTGCCTAATAGGAAAGAGTCTCTATTTTATTACAAAGCCAAGCCTATTGCATCTATGTTTGGTGCACAAACATTAATTCATTAATTTAATTTTTTTTTTTTTGCCACAGCACTACAGAATATATCATTGCTAGTTTCTCCAGTTATAGATTTTATCTTTCTTGGGTTCCTCATGGACTTGGTTTTGTGATGGGAAAAGCAAACGAAAGCAGCAAAACAAAGAAACAAAACATTTTCCTTGGACTTTGAAGGAATTTCCTTTTTTGAAAAGTGCTTTTAATTACTAATTTAGTATGACTTATTTTTCAAACTTAATTAACATAGCAACATACAGCAGGTTTTCTGCTTCTAAATAAAGAGCTGATGATGAATACTTGCAGCCTATTTGTAGAGGAAATAAAGAGATAATTGTCCTACTGCGCTGTAGAGTATTTACCTGTTTCATTGATCTGAAGACAGAGAAGCTTGTTTTATCAGTTTTCCCCTAGGCTACCATATGTAATTCAGTAAGGGGAAGATTCTCTGTTACTGGAGGAATATCACCTTATAAATGTTGGTATGACTGCTTTCTGATTTCTTGGACGATCTTGTTGGCTCTATTATCTCACCATATTCACTGCCTCCTTTCTTAGGCAGAAAGTTAATCACATGCATTGTTCCAAGGTGTTCTCCGTGGTTTTGCCCAGTGGAAACACCCCTCCTTTGCTAGCCTAGATTTTAACTGTAGGTGCTTCAGGGCAAGTCAAACCTCTGCCTAACTTTGTGTAATACAAGGGAATCCAGCGTGGGTGGAGTAGTGTTCTATACATTTAGTAAAAGTGAATGCTAAAATACTTTCCTTGGTTTTTGCTTTTTGTACAAATATCTTTTCAGCTTCTGAAAATACTTCTTACTCTGCAGTTACAGTTGGAAAAGCCATGGCAGGATTGTGGATTTGTGTCAGCAAGGCAGTGTTTTCTCGCAGTGACCATTCCCCTTTGCTCCTGCTTGCCGTTTCTTAGTGCTGATCATGGGTATTTCTGTTCTTCTGTTTTCTTTCTCGTACAGTCAGCAGTCGCCAGAGGACCTTGACCGGGTGCCTCGGAACTCCACCAGCGATATCTTGAACAGGATGCTGGTCAGTTACGATCCCAGGATAAGACCAAATTTCAAAGGTGTGTTGCCTCCTCCCCATCCCATCAAAAACTTTTCCTTCATTGTAGCTTAAAACTTAATATTTTCCATATAAAGTCATGCTTTGTGCTATGGGAAAAACAAGACTTTAGATTTACATGAAACTGTCTTATATGTACTTAGGTTTGGAGCAGTGTTAATGCCCAAAATATTCTAGTAGTTCTATATATAGGTTACTGGTTTAAACAAAACAAAACAAAAGATATCCTATGAATTAATCGGGTAACATTTTTAATTGGCTTTCTGAGTATTGTGTGTTCTAAACTTTAGTGATTTAAAACAAAGGCTGTGTATATTTTCATTTACTCAGCTAGGGAAAATGAGTCATTCTTGTATTTAAGCTCTCTTTTACTTTTGTGTTAGTATTTCGTATAAATAAAAAGAATCCCCTTTATCTTGTACTAAAAAAAATGGCCATATGGTTTGAAAATATTAACTTTAAGAACAAAAGAGACTACGTAGGGGTTATATAATTCCAACAAAATATTGTCATTTATTGCAGCTTTCAGAAAACCCCCACTATACTTAATTGCATATTTATTTGTATACATTGTTGTTTTTTTAAACTTTTGATGAATTAGAAAAAGTTGTGTGGAAAAAATCTCTGGAAAAAGGGAAATCTTATTGCAGGTGAAGGATAGGTAGTAATGTAGATCAGATTAACATTATAAGGCTTCATTTCATTTTTCTTTGCAGAAGAAAGGGCTGCAGCTGCTTCCAGTCAGCTGAAGTTATACAGCTATGCTGTAAAAACACGGTTCTTGTTCATTACCAGCGCTTACCAGTTCCTTTCAGCGCAGCTACGGTTGGGCTGCCGCAGGTCTGCCAGGGACCCGCTCGCCACCTGTTTCTCATCAGGCAGTGGTTATGCGGCTAAAAGGCTAAATTCACATTTTCCCTTTGATAGCCCAGCCGACAGCCACAGTGAGATGAGAGAAAAAGGAAGTAAATTTGCAACATAATACCTTGGTTCTCATTCCATGAACTTTCTAATTATTTTGGAATAGGTCAGGTAGAAATCTGTATAATGGCTCTGCTACACATCTGGTTAACTTTGCGTTTTCATGAATTAAACATTAAAGTAGGGTCAGTACAGGTAAAAATTATTAAATGCTGTTACAGCATTTAATTTAAGAATGCAAAATTATTTGAAAAATATAAGAATATGAAACTATATTTCTCAAAGACTTTTAAAAAGAATACTTTACAGTTTTGTAATATAAATGGACTGGGCAATTAAAATATTTTAAAAGTAAACTTACTTTCCAGAATGAATAACAAACATAATTTACAGCTCAACTCACATTTCATTTGTATTATGATCCCTATTTATAAAAGTACCTTAAATACAATCTTGAGATGGTTTCATCCAAGAATGGATTGAAAAAGTATATAAAATGAGTGTACAACCATATTATCAAAAATGTAATCAAGTTTCTTTACTAAATATGTCCTTAATTTTTATTCATAGGTGTTCCTGTTGATGTAGTAGTCAACATTTTTATTAATAGTTTTGGGTCCATTCAAGAAACCACAATGGTAAGATAACAATTAATTTAATATTTTTAATGGCCAAATTTTAGCAAGTGTAAGTAGCATTAAAACTGAAATATAAGGAGCCACTCTTAAAAAATGCGTGTCCTCTCTTACTATCTATTACTCAAATTCCTTGGTTTTGTTCACTTAGTGATTCTGATACCTGTACAATTTTGCAATCCCACTTTAGCCCTAATGCTGCACTGACACTTACAAGCTTGGGAAAATGGATATATTCTTCCTGAGAAACAATACTTGGATACCACGTGAGAAAGGGATTGGTGCAACAAAAACATTTGAGCAGCAGTTTTTCTTTCTCATATGCTCATGTGTATGAGCCTTCAAAAATACTTTTCTAGGTAAATGGATGCAACTCGAGACCACACCCATAAGTGAAATAAATCAGAGCCGTGTGTGTAGACATCATATTGTCTCACTAGTGTGAGAAGCTGAGAGTAAATAAGATCCAAAATGTACAACAGATATTGTGAATTGGGAAGAAACTGCTCAAAAGCAAAGACAAACTGTGATGGAGGAAGGGGGAAGGAAAACAGGAAAAAAGAAAAAAATATATTTATGCACAAGACCGTTAAGATAGTTATACAGCTAGTTTCTCTTCGTTGAAAAGAAGGGCTGTGCTAATATTGTTTGGCCAAAATATCATGCTTATATTTATGCCCTGAATAACTACTACAAAGATAATATCCAATTTATTAATCATTGTAACTCTCCTACTAACCTGCTCTGAAGCTCTGTTTTATTGTTATTTTATTTTTTCTCTTTAAAACAAAAAAATTGAATTATTTGTAATTGTTTTTCTTCCAATCCCCAGGGGACAATTTTTGTGTTCTCTGTTGTGCTAATTGTGTGATTTGTGGAGCAGAAAATTTTAAGAAGGGAAGAGAAAATTGATTTTTGTACAGTAGGGCAACGAAACTCTCTGGGACAATGGTGTCACTAGTGAGAAGGAAAGGCAGGCAGAGAACTGGCAGCTTCCTGTCTGGAAGGAAATTCAGAAAAGGTTTTGGAGAGTAGCTGCTGCCGGAGATGACCTCTGTGAAACATCACTAGTAGGGTTCCTGAGTGCAGTGCGGTGTGACTACCCCCTCTGCTTCTTAAAAGAGGTTTAAGAAGGTACACACTTGCACTCAGAGTTCTAGAATATTAGATGTGAAGCCACAGCTTGAAGTAATTCTTTAGGTGGGAGAAAGAAGACCCAATTATTTTTGTATGTTTGGATATTTACAGTTTTACTAAGTCATAATATAAGATTTGAGTATAATAACTCTGTATTCCTAGTGGCAGCATAATATGTTATAAAAGCATATGTAGAATGCATTTAATTTTACAAGACTTACCTATATCTAGTTGTGGTGAGAATTTTTTATTGTTTTTCCTGGAAGCACATGTTCGAGCTCCTGAGTAACTGATGTTCTTAGTGTGTAGACATATTTAGAAAATTATTTAAAAGATTTTGAGATCAATCTGAAGTTCACTTCTAGTGATTGTTTAGTTCTCTTAAGTGACACAGCCATACCTTCTAGGTCACCTGAAGATTGTGCAGTCGTATAGCACTCAGGAGACAAGTGTGGCTCTCCTTAACTGAACATGGGCTGTTAACACTAACCCCCTGGGAGTAGGAGATATCATTTTCAGGAGTAAGAGATAGCATTTTCAAAAGGTGAAATGCTAAGAGACGTTATTTACTGTATTTGGTCTCCATATTCTTCCTCATACTGTAGATAGTGTGCGTGATACAATTTACATTTACCCTAAAATACTCTTATTAGAATCAGATCCAAAACTAGCTGTGGTGGCACATACCTGTCATTCTACCACTCTAGGAAGCTCAGGCAAGAGAATCACAGCTTCAAACCCAGCCTAGACAACTTAGTAACTTAGTGATACCCTGTTGCAAAAAAAAAGAAAAGAAAAATGAAAAGCAGTAGCTCAGTGTGAAACACTGGTTTCTATCCCTACTACTACCAAAAAAAAAAAAAAAAGAAAAAAAGAAAAAATCGAAAAGAGTTTGGATGTAGCTAATGCAAATGTGAGGATCTCTTTTTGGTTTGAATGTATTCAAAAGCATTGTAGCTCAGCAGATACCATCACTGAATATGCTCCTTGCTGAATGCTGGGTGCCTTCCAAATATCAGAACTTTGACTATACTGAATTGCAAGGATCTGAGAGACGGGGATATTAGGAAAGAAAGACGCTTTCACAGATTGAGGATTATAGAAACCATTTCATTTCTAACATTACCTCTTCTCATTCTCCCGCACAGCACCATTACATAGCTCACTCAAAAAAGTTATTCTTGGGATCAAATGCCCATGGGAGTCTTCTCTTCTAGTGGACATCATGGTCCTGGTGGGTCTCTTACCGTCTAGTCAGAGCTTTGTGGCCACTCTGACTCACTTTGGCGTCTTTGTATGTTGGACTGTCATGATAATTTTTAATAGGAGCGTTAAGAAGGATGTATAATATCCATGTTTTTTAGCAGTATTTCTATTGATGATTTATTTAAATTTTATGAGTTTTATTATATCATACAGTGTGTACTTAATAGGAAAATAAAATATCAATAAATTTAAATGTTAAATTTTTCATATATACTAAGTGTTTAGGATAAACACCAACATTTTCTACATCAACTGTTCGTGTGCTTACAAAAGCTAAAAAATAACAACAGTGATAAATTCCTATGTGAACTCCAATGAAAATACAAACAGAACTTTACCACAGAAATAATCTTTGTCCTACTTTCATAGCTAAGGTAGTCTTCACACATGAAAACAGCATGTCTATTACACAAGGGTTGCTTACATGTGTTTTGCTTCCTTATATTTTTGACAGGTCATACTTGCTACCTGTTTTGTCTTCCTGTTTTTTCAGGGATTCCTATTATATTGTATAATGTGTACATGGCAGGAAAATGAAATATCAATTAAAAACTCAAATATGTACCAAGTGTTTAGAATAAACAGCAAATTTTCTACATCAACTGTTTGCTTACTAAATATGAAAAATAACAACAGAAAGGAATTCTTATGTAAATTACAATGAAAATATAAATAAAACTCCAGCTAAAAAATAACCTTGACTTCAGTAATCACATCTAAGGCAGTTTTGACACATGAGAATAGCATGTTCTACACAAATATCACTTACACTGATAGCACATGTGTTTTTGTTTTCCTGTCTGCTTCAGTAGGACATACTTGACATCTTGCTGGTCTTCCTGTTTTCTCCAGAGGTTCTTGTGATTCACCTGTATGTTCACCAGTCTGCTCCAGAATTCTTTTGAGGAGTTCTTTGGACAGATACATATTGTTCTTTCTCTGTGGTAGTCATTCATTTATCAATTCCAGTCCTAATCCTTCAAGAAAATTTCCCCATGATATTTTGTGCTTGTTATTTTCTTTGTAAACCTTGAAACTATCTATGCCTGACATAGATAGGATCAAGTAAGTCACACCATTGGCCCATACTTTGTATTTCTTGTGATATCATAGTCACTGCATCACTCCTGAACAACCTCAACTCCACCTTAATTGTTTTGTTGTTGTTTTGTGTAAAATGTGACCATTTCTGGTTTAATTTGTGATGAGAATTCACTATCACTTTTTTAAATACAAGATCTTGCTATGTAGCCCAGGCTTACCTTGAACTCACTAATAGCTGAGGCTGACCTTGAACTCACTATGTAGCACAGGCTGACCTTGAACTCACAGGATCTTCCTGCCTCAGCCTTGAAAGTGCTGGGGCACAGGTGTGCATCACCATGCCTAGATTTACTATCAATCTCATCAACATGGTGCAATGTTGGCAGTATCAACACTACTTTTTCTTCTTCCCCATAAAAGAAGCCAATGTCACGTCTTTCTGAAATCCCAAGATTGTACTATACATTTCTCCATTGTGAACTTGCAATTTTTTTTTCAGGAAGTTCTCTTTGTTCCTGTGAATAGTTCCTGTGCTGGGCAATTGGTGTTCTTTTATCAAACTTAACATCAGTGGGTAACTAGGGAATCAATTGTCAAATGTGGCTTTTGGGTTACTCTTTGAAATAGCATCATACGGTTTATTACTGCACGAAGAAAGACCTGGTGACTGAGCTCCAGGATAAATTTCTAAATTTAAGGAGTAAAATGTCTTCACATCTACTAGGGCATACATTTTTATATCATAGTTGGAAGTTTTAGTTGGCATTTATTGCCAAAAGCATCAATAACCATGAAATGATTCAAGTTGTTCATCAGTTGTCATGTGTTTGGACAGTATATGAATTGCTTGACAGTTTGAAACAAAGCTTTCAAAAAATGAGTGAATAGCAGCCAATTTGTTCTATTTTTTTTCTTTTCATCAAAAAGTAGGCAATTTCAAAGGAAACCAAATCTCTTGAGTGTCACTGCTGCTCTAAAAATCCCACCATTCTATCTGTCAATTCTCCATAAATCCTTTGGATTCTGACATTAGAATGATAATGTCTGCTAAAAAGGCTTTTAGATCAGGTGGTGCGGTGTCATGATAAATACATTTTGAGTATTACTATGGTGCGTATGGAGCATTTTACTTGTATTTCATTATTAGCATATTTCACAACATCTTGTAGCGCATCATCCATTACAGACAATTTCCACCCTTGAATCACAGTGTTGGCATTCTGTCCAGTTGCTTTCATCTCTGGCAAGAACCTAGTAACACTTTCTGACCCTAGTTACAGGGCAGGGTCATTCAGGTGCACAAGACCATTTTGTAGCACTTGACTCGTCAAATATTTATTTACATTACTGTTTTCTTCCTCATCCGAATCGAGGTCGTCATGCTGTACTTCCCTGTCTGTCTTAGACTGCTCCATCTCACTGTCGCAACTTCACCGGCATATGTGATCCAAGTCATCTATAGGGAACTCGTTGGTCTCTCCGATGTACCCTGGGAAGGAATGGTAGTGGGTATGAGGAAAATGAAGAGGCAAAAGCTGGGGTCAGATGGAGCAGCA